AATTTGTCGCTAGTGTCAATAGTTTACTATTTTCCCGTAAGTCCAACGGTTTAGGAGTTATTGAAGAAAAACGAAACTTTTTGCCAAAAGTTCGCTATTTCGACGGTGAGGCGGTCGAATTTTGTCGATGCCAATAAAATGCCAAATAATCATACTTCACTCGTTAAATACTGGAGTTAGAAGCAAAATAAATAGAATCTTTCTTTATAGAGGATGTCAGTGCCTACATCTTCTGTATAAAAAGCTTTTCGCCAGCGTCAATAATTAATTGGATTTTTCCGACTATACTTTTTAGCACGTAGCTATTTATTATTAGCATCGTTCTTCCGACGTCTGATTTCTTTTTAACTTTAGGAAATACATTTTTCTAAAGTACATATACTTTTGGGATTGACTGTATAGCCAATACATCCTTAAAAAACAAAGTTGATAACCATTAAATGATCAATAACTTCATATAACATATTTTTGCACTAATGAATAAGTTATGCTAGACAATTTTAATGTGAAGTGTAAACACACAGATACAATGTCATCAATTGAGATTATAAGTAAATCATATGCCTTTAATACTATTCTTAATGTAATTTGATTTAAATGAAAGGGGGTAAGAATACATATAAATAACAAAGAAGATACAAAAATATATGCTTATATATATACAACACACATACATCTACATTGGTTTTTAAATTAAGACATTATGTACAAAAAATTTTGGAGATGTGCGATCTTAACAAAAACACATTTACATTTTAATGTTCTTTAGAGATTTACATAGAGTCATACACAATTCATGGTTTTGTCGTTGTATTCTTAGACGAAAATTTAATTCACAGTAATGTCCGCTTCCTAATTTGATCACAACTTATTTTTACACGAACCTCTGCATCGTTTATAACATTCTAAAACATTTTACTTCTTCACACATTTATTTCTTTAACACGCAACGAGATTTAATGTAATTACAAAATCACAATTGTTCTTCGGAATGGGATTCAAGGTAAGGGAATTGCCGTTGCGATTGTAGAACGGCTGGTCGGAAGCACTCGTTCCGGATGCTGGCGCTCCTTACTGGTGCAGAGTGATTCCCATTCGCTTTACGACGAACACTGATGTAGGTCGTGCATGTGTTCATGCGTCGGAGGACAGAGTGGCCCGAACCATTGATGCCTGAAAATGTAACATTGACAAAAATTTGCTTGTAAAATGTAAATCCATTAGAAAGAATGAAGTGAATAATGTAACCGGAAACAGACGTGTTCCGAAATGTGAACGTCGTTAAATTCGTAATTTAGATATATAAATATGTATACGAGTGACTCATCCTCTATTTGAATAATTAATGTCCGAATAATTGGCGTTATATATTTGGAGCGATAGTTTTCATTACTGAGAAACTTGACGCGGTTTTTAATGTTTCGTAATCGAATACCTGTCAAAGGAATACCCATCGTACTAGCATGATAATTGTTACGTTGTCTGTTTCGGCGAAGTAGTCTGTGTACTCCGGGTAAGCAGGAGATCGCAGTTATGAACCCGGTTCGGAATCTCGCGTTCATCCAACAGTAAATTACTGGATTGTAGCAGGAATGCGACATGGCCAACCAATGAAGCAACATCCACACAAAGGGGAGTCCAACCCAACTACCGAGGGTCTCGTTGTTATCCATTAATAACTAGAACGTAAAAAGTATTTTATACAATCGAGTAAAATATGTAATTATTACAATTGATTAAATATAAAGTTATTGAATGGTATTACATGTTGTTACTGGATTTGAAATTTAACTACGCGAATTTTTAAAAGTAATGAAGGGCTCTCGAAATATCAAAGGAAGAAGTAGATTACTTACGATTAATATATTGAACGGAAGCCAACAGATAGTAAAGACAATCACTACTGTCATCATCATTTTCACCATCTGAAACAAATGAAATACCCGCGATTGGTACTAAACTCAGCTTGTTTTAAAAGAATATCATAAATGCATTCGCAAATTTAATTTGAAAATCATTTTTTGAAAATAAGTAAGCCGAGTTTATAGCGTATGAGAAGTTATTTGTAGCAATTCTTCCCTGGTGATCGTATTTTTTTGCGCTAATGAGGCTGGGAGATATAGGATAAATAATGAGGGAAGCGTGCAGTCCTCTGAAATTTAGTCGAGACATAAATCATGAACAGAAGGCAGTTTTCGTTTAGGCTCGGCCTACGCACCCTGCGCACGGTTATTAGATACCGTTATTACACGAGCGGTCTGTTCAGTGCTGGTCTATTTCACTGCGTGGTCGGTAGATACGCTGTCGCTAAAAATAATAACACCACACCCAGGGGAATTTGTAATTATGATGGTTCACAGTTTAATTCAATTGCGTCCTTGGAATAATCCAATTACATGAAAAAGACATCTGTTTTTTCATATTTTTTAATTAATTAATTAAGAAGTTCTGATGACGTTATGAGGTAACTCTAAATAAATAAGTAAATAATTCTAGTAAAGTAATTCTAAAATAAATCTACTTTCCTCCCCTCCAAAGAGAAAACTTTACAATTTCGCCGAGTTCTGATATCTTGTCGTGCTGTTATAACAAATATTTATGAATCTGACAGGTGTGAGTTACGATCTCGCTCCATTCTTGACGCGCTCCTCTCTTGTTTTTACTCTTTCTCTAGGAACTGGTCTCCCTTGACATTCCTCTTCATGTTCCTAACTTCATCTCCTATTATCCTTCCCATTTTTTCCATCTGCCATTTTGATATCCTCTTGTTATTATTCTCACAGAATATTTCTTTTTGTTCTTCGTTTATGTTGTCTTGAGATATTAAACAGCTACACGTCTTCAGATTTAGAGAATTTTTAGTTGAAATGATACGTGAAAACTTTTTCTGCTACTCTTTCATTCCGCTTTTTGCTCTTATCCATTTAATCTTCGATGCTCTCGAATATATTCGGAAAAGAATGTGAACGTTCTCGTTATCTATTCAAGGTTTTCACGCGTGCGGTTCGCACGTCTCTTTAACCTTCCTGGGACAATGGAAAAAAATTTTTTGCAGAGAGAAATGCCTGCAACCATAAATGATCGACTTTTTACACGATGGCAAATTGCTGTTCAAATATTTACGTCATATGCATCTATACCGGAACAAAGAAATGAAGGTGGGTACCGTAATAAAGAGCTCTCGCAATCAGATTAACCGCCTGACGAATGAAAGAAGTGCGCACGTGCTCCACGTTTTATGTTTCATTATATATATGTTATAAATTCTTATCACTTCCTTATTAGATAATTTTCGAACCATGTGGCATAGTGAAGTCAAAATAGCAAGACCGACTAAACATAGAATATTATTTATTATTTTATATTCATATAATTTACGGTAAGTATTTGTGAAAATTGTAGTTTAAATGAAAAAGCTACCAATAATTGTATGCCGTTCGTTTTCTTGATGCATTAAGCCTTGTGATAAAAATGTCTGCTACATTTAAGATAACAGACATATTATTGACATAAACATAACTACTCTTATTATACAGTAAAACTGGATCTATCGGGACAATTATTGCAGCTTTATGCAAGTATTGTGTCACATAATTGTACAAAATACTGTGCAAACTATAGTATTACTGGCTGGCTCTTTCTTCCGGCTTTCTTGCTTTTAAACAAATATTACTATGATTAAAAATTTAGTCGAGTAAAGGGGTGGGACCAGTAGGTGCTGACTAACAAAACTCTTACGTATAAGTAGTGTCAATGAGACGTCAAACGAAAAATATCGTTTTATCGATGACTAGAAGGTAAAAGTAAATAGCTATGTTCATATCTCGATTTTGCTTCGTGGTAGATCGTAAAGTACGTTGTAAGGACAGTATATATACAATGTCCACATTCGTACAGCTCTCATAAGTTTTCACGTCCACATTGATTACTTGCTCCGTAAGAACAGCGGTAAGTATTTAGGATTAATGTACCAAGTACACAGTGGACGATCGAAAATCTATGTGGTACTAGTGTCGAGTGCATATTTGACATAGCATCGCTTTAATAAAATTTATTAAGCACATAATGTCTCTTCTAAAGCATTTTTTATGCTACTACATGAAATGTTTAAAAATGTAACGGATATCATTGCGGTACACCCCATAAATTTTTATCATTTGGATTTCTTCAGATTTATTCTATTCATGGTGCCAACCTCTTACGGAACCAACTGCTTATTGCAAAAATACATTTTACCTGTATTCTACATAAAGAATCGTAATGCTCCCCCTCTGTGAAATACATAACTCAGCTTTTCCAGTGAAGGAACAGAAAGCTTTTTAGATTCATGACTGGCTTAGTTTTCAGTTTTCTTGTTTACCGAATATCAAAGAGCTACTCGGTAGCGAGAGTTTATTGTTTGCCGAGTAGACTTTTCCTTTGAGGAAAGGGGACTATTAGAGCAAATTGACTTCATCAAGTGCTCCCAACGACGAAAAGCACCAGAAACTATTTTAATTAGCTATGTTTGATCGCCCCTTACAGCGTTTAGTAGATTTATTTTTTGCGCCAATTACCATAACCGAAAGAAAGGGAAATTCTATCGCCGTTGATTAAATATTCTCCTGTTCACGTGCCTACAATACATTTTTTTCTTCGCGAAGCCTCTTTACAGAGCAATTTCTGTGTAACTTAATTCACTTACAACTCTTTTCGTTTCTTGCGCCTGTACTGTACTGCCTTTTACAATCTGACAACTTTCAGTGCCTTAGCTTAATTAAGTAATGAATGTACAGCTTCCGTTTTCTGAATACCATTTACTGTTCTTCATTTCATTACCACAGACTGGCAGTGCAGACTGGCTTCTTTTTAATTTGCTAATTAAAAATAAATTATAAATTGATAAATAATTATAAATTGATAATCCAGGCAATACTACAGAATTTATGTCGAAAAGCAAGCCATTGATCGATTTCAAATACTCTTTCTCCGGGGTCAATGTGTGCACAAGTGAATCGGAGAGCCTTCGCGTCGTAATAAGAAGCTCCCACGTAACAAAAGATACTCTGCCCGAAATAATAAATCAATATCTTTTGACAGTTGTCGAGTCATCGCGAAGAATCGATAAAGTTGAGAATGGAAGTCGCCGCCTGTTTCAGTTCATTGAGACATCCTTCTTTCTTCGAAGCCACTGCTCTTTAAACTGATTCTGAGCAAGCGCTCTTTAAAAGAATTAGGATCAATGAGAAGCTTAATATTTGAACAAGGATTTTTATCTTAGTGAATTCTATTAACGAGTGGATACGTACACGGGATTGCAAAATGAGAAAAACCAGACGATAAACGCATCGTTATTCCGGTCGTGCAAATGCCTTTGAAAGCAAATCTGTAATCGCTGCTATAACCAGGATTTTCTTTTACGGGGAACTTTACAAGTTCCTTGAGGACGCCCCGATACCGCTAAGAGACAATCCTATATTATAAATTTTATAACATTGCAAGACCGTAAGCGTTCAGATCCACTTCAGTGAATGCGGTCGTTTACCCCTTTAGAAATACATGTAAAACTTTTATTTTGTTTGGAAAGAAAATGTTTTAAAAACATCTTCCTTTTTCTCTTTTTGTTTCGTTCATTTCAAATTGTATAACTATGTAAAATTCTAAGAACCTGAACAATTTCTTAATCTTGACCTACTTAAACTACTTTGAAAAACGTTTCTAATTATCATTTAAATTGCACAAGATAAAGTGTAATTTGAAGAAATTGTACAAAAACACAAGATATATAGATTTATTTAGTAACAATGTTTTCCTTATGTGTCAAAGCAATTTTTAAATAGTAGAAGAAATTGTAGGGGGAATCAGGTATGCGTTTCAGGTCTTTCGATCTTAACATGAGAAATAGGTGATCTTTCTTGTACGGAGAACCCTTAGCACAGAGCAGACAATAAGTTTGACTGATATACCGGGTAGTGCGCGTTGCGAGCCTATTATTATTAATGAGGTTCTGGGAGCATGTCGTATGCATAAATTCAGTGGCAACGGTTATGCATATTATAAATTTATGGAGTCTACCTGCTGAGCCCCTTAAACATCTAATCAAATAAATCATTTCTCTTATTGGTCTCTACAATTGCTAAGGACACAGCAAAGTTGTCAGTGTTGCGGTTTCAACTATTTGAGATCCAAATATAATGTTCCTAAAATAATTGATTTTTCACTTCGTTAGAATTCATGATGATTAGAATGATTAAACTATCGCGTACTAAAAAGCTTCGCGACTAATCAGTACTCGATTTTAATGAACCTCTACATATTCACACGTTCATTTATTCGCCAGGCGAGCTCTTAACAAATGACATTTAATTAAATGTTAAATTGAATGGATAAATTGGACAGGTATGAGAGGAATCCTCTTCATTAATTTCGCAATACGTAATTATTTCTAACGTATCCAATCCGTATGCTTGATCAGAATTATATCAAATAACTGCGCTTTTATATTGTTTACTCAATTTATTTAATTTGTTATATTTAAATTATTGATATATCAGTATTATTTTGTTTTAATGATAATGACAACAAATCATCCGGGTTATCAAGTTTTATTATTAATCGAGAATTTGTTTTCCTTCCACTTACTCTCTGATACATTTCCTCAAATAATTTTAAGTATTCGCACTATCAAAATAATTTTTTTTAACGAGATGGAGATATTGAATTAAAATGAGTTGCGGAGGTTGATTATCACAACGCGAGGTCGACTGACTGGGATAAAGAGTGGGATAAAAATGCGAAGATTAAGCAGACACCGTCTGTATTACATAGATTTCCTTTCAAAATTCGTCTTCGTTGGCCCAACCAGAGCTAGATTTGAATTCGTGTGATGCTGTGTATTTACGGAGCGTTATGATAAACGTACGACGCTGAATAACACGGAATCTGACAACAGGAGTGACAGGAGCAGGGTGTTAAATTTAATCATTTCATAAGTGATTTGTAATTCCATAACACGCGTGCGGATTTCTACAGGCAGTGAGCGACGAAGCGAATAATTCAGCTTTTCATCATGGATAGTCGTGCTCTATGGATCCTCTTGGTTTTTGCAAATATTCTGCTGGCAGGTACGTTCATGCAACAGCTTATACTCACAAGTAGAGATTATGAAATGATAATTGAAATACACTTCGTCTGTTAAACAATCATTGAGCTAAACACATGATAGTTAATTGAAAGCTAGACGATATTGAGCAGTTTCGTGTTTGTTCACAGATGCTGATGACCCAGCCATTGATGCCATTTTCCTGCGTCTATTCAAAAAGTACTTGTACTTTTTTTCATTAGAAAATTATCAATTGTTTGGGCACGAATTTAAAATGGACTAACTTGAATAATAAAGATAGTATTCAAAATGTATTAGAACTGTTCACAGAGATCGAATTACTTAACTCTTTGTAATTTTACACATGTTATATCAACTTACATGATTTCTTTTTAATTGTCATTATTGACTTCATTGTTAATGTGACATCCTTAATGAAAACTTATAAATAGTGTGTTTAATTAGGGGATCGATCTTTTTCAGGAACGGTACTTATATCGACAAAAATATAAAAAATGTCACTCAGTTGATAGCCAACATTGACACAACTCAAGAAACATCATTATTCATTAATGGCTGGAAAGAAACTATAGACAGCGAGGATGTCCAATTGATAACAGGCGGTAAGTCGCGATATTAATTAAACGCTATAATCAGACATCAAAATGCTGTTTACGAATTGAAATAGATATTCTTATTGAGCAAAACCATAATGTCATAACAACAATCAAAAAGTGTATAATATCAAGAATAAGGGAATACAAATTATGTATTCGTTTAAATTTTTATAGCGTATCTGCAAGCTACGGACGATAATGTCCTCGCAGTGGATTATCGAAAGCTTTCCAAGAGACTGTACACAACCAGCGTATCGTACGTAGAGCCAATCGGGAAGGCTTTAGCTAATAGTCTGAACAGTATGTTCGACGCCGGCCTGAATCCGATGAAACTGCACATAATCGGACACTCGTTAGGCGCTCACGTCGCGGGGAACGTAGGACGGAATTTGAAAGTAAAAATTCCCAGAATAACAGGTATGAAATATCATTTAAATTGAAACACGAAACGATCCGGAAATCATGTTCAAGGTAAATCCTCTCGTTAGGAGAGCTCAGTCAGTGAATAAAATTCTCCGCCTTCTTTAACTTTCAAAACACGATTAGCAATTTTCGACCTCGACGATTGATCGCAATTGGAATCTCTTGCGTAGCTTTAGATGCAGCCGGTCCTTTGTTCTAGTTCATTGGCCCGCGTTTGAGGCCGACCGATGCCCACTTCGTTGACGCTATACACACTGATTCGGGCTTCTTCGGAACGTTCCTGCCGGTAGGCACTGTGAACTTCTTCCCGGACTTTGGGGTTGCAGTTCAGCCTGGCTGCCCAGATATTCTTAGTACGTATTTTTCATTTATCCTTCGTCCTGTCATTTACATATCGCGTTTGCGTTACATTAATTTTAGTTTAAGATAACAATAGTACAATTAGGAGAAAATGTTAAAGTTTGAGTTTGAATTTTTCGAAGCAAGTGATACATTGATGAAATATGTACAGAATCGTTGTCATAATGGTAAGGTCCGAGTTGATAAGTTGATTTAATTATTTGTCGGCTCACGCAATTCATTCAAGAGTTCCTCTTCTAAAAACCGCATTACTGCAACTACGCTCTAAATTGACCAAAAGTAAATTGCGCAGGCTGTCCTCCCTGTTATATTAAGAAAATACTTTGGCTCGTTTATCTTGGGGATAGGATATCGTATTGTCGGATAAAACTAAGCGGAAGCGGAAGTCCTCGATTCGAGGATTCACCGCCGCTTCCCCTTTTTTCCCGTTGAGAACATCGTCGATTCATTATTCCTTTTTCGCAGATATTTGCAACCACGAAAGGTCGTTTAAATTGTACGCGGAGACAGTTAAACATCCTAAGCTGTTTGTTGCTAGGAAATGCGACAATGCTACCAGTTTTAGATTGTCGCTGTGCAATAATAACAATGAAACTGCTTTGATGGGTTACGGCACACCGAGTGACGTGTTAGTATAATTCTTAATTTTCATTAGCTTCTCTAAGATATTTATAAACTTCCAGCATTAGTATTTGATTATAAATAATTAATTCCTTTCAATCCTGAAAACATACACTAAGTGTATGAGACATGAAGTGTAAACTGGGTCAAATGACTTAATAACTGAATTAATTTTTATTGTTTGTGTTCCTATTTAGGAAAGGCAGTTATTACCTTACAACGAGCGCGAATATACCATACGGCCGCGGGCCGAAGGGGGCAGTTTATGGTAACTGATTCCATCCGGGTCGCACTTTGCAGGCCAAATGTGCAATTTCATAAATTTTATTTATTGATTACACGATTGATTAATTAATTATCGAGGAGGCAGATGAACATTTTACTGCTTTTATGTAAACTCTTGGCATGTACTTGGACTCGCTTGAAACATAATACTGCATAATAATGCAAGTAGCCCGTACCGTATTAATATCTTCCTATTACAGAATAAGTAACTCTAGCTCGATGAACAGTTTCAGTAACCATGCTCCGAACCGGTTTAATCAGCGATTCATGTTGAAAATTCGTTTATTAATTTTACTAGCAATTAACCTCGTGAACTTTGTTATAATACATGTGTATGTGCGAAACTATTACTAAAACTGAAATACTGCTTCGTGCATTATCATTATTGGTATCAAATTCAAGGTTTAGGTTTTTATGTAATTTTGACATAAAATAATTTTATTATAATGTTCTCAATTGGGTTTATCGCTGCGTGTGTTTAGAGTTACTTATAATTGTTTTGATCTCGTAAATTCTGGCTTCAGTGCCATGCTGATTAGCATAAACACGAGATAATAAAAGTCAGAGTTTTCGTTTCACCTTGGCGAGAAATTAATCTGTAGCTATTTTGAGACATTGAGCAACCGAGGAACTAGTCTTTTTATAGAAAGTAGACAAGACCGCTAATTTAAATTTTGTATTCTATCTTCGCATGTATATCGCATAAATAAAAAAAACGATATGTTTTAAATTTTCACTTAAGCATTTATTTTCATTCACCTAGAAACCTAATTGTTAGACATTACAGATTGTTTAACAATGTAAATTGTAATACGTCTAATGACAGTTCAATTTGCATAAACGTAGCGTGCGTATCAGTCGTTTCGAAATAATCGTTATAATAAACGACACATGGGGAGCGTAGATAAGAGGCTGAAGTGCGAACTGTTTATTTTTAAGCGAAACGAATTTCAAATTGCTGCGTTTCTCTATCATAATATACACAACGGAAGCTCACGTTCTATAAGATTTCGAATTTACAAATTAAATTTGCACTAAAAATCATCATGCTGCAACGAGTGTTACGTGACTTAACAAGAATTGATTTCAATAAATTTCAACTATACCTTTCGCATTACCTCGAGATGCAAAATGATATCGATTCGCATCGACGCTATTTACGTTATGGTATGTATATCAAATCAGACTGATTTGAAAAAATTTTGTATAGAATATATTTTTCATTCATTAATCAAACTGAACTGAATACAATACGTCTTCCTCAATAAATCTCTTTCGACTACAAATGAAATTAAAGAAACAGTCATTCAACGATTATCGAGAACAATTTGTTTCATGGACTAGGAACCTAAGTCTAATTCGCTGAATTGTCTCCTGTCTCTAATGAGAAATTCCTTTCGGTCAAATGTACTTACGCATTTTGTCCTCTCAGAAGCGTGTGCTCGTTCGAGCTTTAACGAAACAATTAAGAAAGGGGACTCATTTTAAGGGATTCAAATTATAAATAATACTATTTTTTAAATTCTCATATCCGTTCTTAAATATTTACTTCAGTTGCAGAATATACTTTTTCCTCGTAGCTATTCGTTTGACGCAGAGTGGTCATAAATGGAGAATCGCGTTGTAGTGTAATTAGCATTGGTTAAAATCGACTCGTCATTAGGCGGATAAATTGAACGCGTTGGATGTAGTACTCCGGGGCGCGTTAAAACCGGGCTCGCAAATTTCATTAACTCGTCACTTTGTTCCGCCAGTCGATTAAACCGGGGCGTGTAAAACCCAACGAAATTGCTTCTGCAGCGGTGAACAAGAATTTGGAAAATTGTTGGGATCTCACAGCTCAATCGTTGTTTATCGTTTCATTAACTACTTCATCGCGATTCAATGTAATGTATTAGACTGCGGACTTTTGTGCAAAGTAGAACTTTCGTATCATCAGTTTAAAAGATTAAATTTAGATTAAGGCATTTTTCTCCTTAAAAATAATAATACAATCATACATTAAAATACATTAATTATAAATTTAATTGTTTTACAAATTAATAACGTCTGCATTCTAAATATTAGAAACTGTTCTGGTATTCCTATTCTCAGGAAAATTGGTAATTAACGTCCATACATGATTGATGTCTTCCTTCTAATCCTTTTTCTTCAATATTTAATTTATTTCCAAGTTTCTTAAGAGATTTATAATACGAGTAACTTGATATAAATAGTGAGAGAGATAAATAAAGTCGTGAGCGCTTGGAAAGAGTGGATTCGGAGAAATTGATCCGGACAGCATCGCAGCCATCCGTACCAATAACTTCCCTGTCATTTCCCGGGGAAATTCTGCGCCGCAGTGGCTTTGTGATACTTTACCTTCCTCTTTGATCGCGCCATTCTCTGGTCCCTGACGTTTTCAGCTTCTCCCGGCGGTCTCTTGCCCCACACCATAACCGCGATGCTGGTGTACGTGAATACCAGGACGGTTATCGGTACCATGTACTGGAGAACCAATAACGCGATCGAGTAATAATATCTGCAACACATGGATACACGATCGTGCGAGTGTAGACAAGTTCGTAATATTGTTAGGATGAATCGTTCCGTCATAAACCAGACTCCTCGCTCGACGTTAATAGCCCACCGAGGAGGGTTTTAAAATGAATTAAATCAGCTACTCCAGATCTATCTATTTCCCATGCAAAGGGAACGATTGCAATTTTTAAACAGTGAATTTCGAGACAAACGAGAGATCAATCACGAACTTCTTTTCAATTCACGAAGACAGGTAGTTTGAGATATGAAATAAACATGTTGAATAGAATATAACATAATTAAGTTACTCGAAAATTTCCTTGACTGTTTAAATGTATTAGTGAATAATGTCTTAAATGATTAAATAGGATAATTACTTGTTCTCCAACGACGGCCAAACCTCCTCACAAATGTACTGGTTACATCTCTCGTACTGCGTTGATGGTTGAGAGAGTTTTGAAACCACGGCGATTGGTAGCGATATCACCATAGCGAGTATCCAAACTGCGAGAATTAGAAGCTGGGCTTGCCGTTTACTCAACCTTGGTTTCAGAGGCCACATAATAGCTATGTATCGGTCTATACTGATCGCGACCAACGTGTACGCGCTCACCAATACCGATACCGCCTGTAAAACGATTTACGCAATGTATGACTCAAATTTCCTTTGCATCGTTCATATTTGCTATTTTTAATCTAATAATTTTATATTATCAATTTATTCCTTTGCTACGTGTTCGCAATTTTAACACATATCACATTTTTATTTCACGACACTTGGCCAAATGACCATTCTTGGAAGTATTTAAGATCGGGAATTATTACTCCGTTCTTTCAATAATTTAATGTACGTGCTAATGAATGTTAAGATGAATTAAGAAAAAATTGCCCCACACCATAACCGCGATGCTGGTGTACGTGAATACCAGGACGGTTATCGATACCATGTACTGGAGAACCAACAACGCGATCGAGTAATAATATCTGCAACACATGGATACACGAGCATGCGAGTGTAGACAAGTTCGTAATATTGTTAGGATGAATCGTTCCGTCATAAACCAGACTCCTCGCTCGCGTTAATAGCCCACCGAGGAGGGTTTTAAAATGAATTAAATCAGCTACTCCAGATCTATCTATTTCCCATGCAAAGGGAACGATTGTAATTATTCTCGTCTCCATCATACAGTCCACTCTTTAATAACAACTCGCAAATTTAATTTGCCGTTGTTTGTTTTTTCTGATTTTAGATCTCGCCGCTGAGGATGAGACCCGTCACGGCAATATACAAATACAAACAAATATTGTTTTGACTCTTACTTACATACTCATTGGGGCTATCGGGCGTTCACGCCCGGTAGAATAAATCGTTATCTAAATTCCAAATGTATTTTTTACAATTAAATCCAGATTATGGACAGCCCAAAAAGGGATCTCCTTCAAGGGATGGAACTCGATGTTTTCATCGTGAACCACCTGGAGAGGTTGCGGCGGATGGGTAATATTAAGACCAATCTGCAAAAGAGATCGAGGGCAAACTATTCTACAGTCTATGTTAAAGCGCAACTCGATATTCTCGAGAGGGAGTGGGATAATGCCCAGAATCGACATGCACGATTACTTGCATCGGTATCCCTGGAGGGTCGGAAGAACGAGGCGTACTTCGATTCCGAATGCATGGTTGATTTCGAACGAATATACCACGAGACTACCGGGTATATTTATGAACAACTGAGGGTCCTGGAGAAAAGGGAACAGCAGGAAGAGAGAGCAGCGTCAAACAGCTCTGCTCACGCTTCTGCTGATAACCAAGTATCCGTTCGGTTACCGCGACTGGACCTCCCGCATTTCAGTGGTAATCATCCTGAATGGCCATCCTTCAGTGATCTCTTCACGTCAGCGGTCATTAATAATCGCACATTATCGGATGCCCAACGATTGCAGTACTTGAAAGCTATATTGGAAGGCGACGCTTTGCGTACAGTCTCCTCGTTAGAATTGACGAACGAGAATTTCTCGATCGTATGGGAAACACTAGAGCAGCATTATAATATCCCGAGACTAATTCAGTCCTCTTGGTATGAAAAGGTGTTACACCTTAAACCAATTAAGCACGATAATGTGGGAAGCATCACGCAAGTAACCGTGGGCTTGCAACAAGCCTTAAACGCACTTCCGAAACTGGGCGTTTCGGTTACTGATTGGGACCCACTCATGGTTTATCATGTGTCCAGCTAGTTCGACAAAGAACTGATGCTGGAGTGGGAACAGACTTTCGACAATGCTCGAAAATTCCCCGAATTCCGAAAGATGATGGGCTTCCTGAAGAACAAGGTCAGCGCACTTCTTGCCAGACCGGCCTCCTCAAAATTCGAAAACAGGAAAGTTCGATCCCATGCTACAACCGTATACACGGGCATGGGAATCATCATTAAAATGCTCATTATGCATGATGAAGCACAGACTATCGGACTGCAAGGAATTCCTGCAACGTGATGCAAGAGGGCGATATTATTGGGTCAAGGCGAATTACGGTTCTGAAGGACCCGTGCTTTTACATGGGTTTCCCTGTACTTTCAATTACAGTACTGTAGGCTCCGCCGGGCATCTCTCGAGTCAAAAATTTCACCCCCTACCACGTAGAATTCTCACTACGGTTACGGTAATGTGAATAGGTCTTTACACGAATAGGAATTCACGTTAAACGCCTGATTATTCCTATTCGGAGGTAATCCTTCTTTCTAAAATTACGAATTGTGCTGCACTCGTAAGAGATCAGTGTCGGTCGAACGATAATCGTCGGTAATCCGTGAACCGAGCGTACAGAATGCTGAAAGCAGAATGACGAGAGCCTCTGCGTCTCCTTACTAAGAAAACTATTTCGCCGCGATGCGGCGTAGAAATCGAATACATTCGATCTCTTTCTAATTAATGTGTTTCCGAGAGGGAAACACATTTTATCGAGAATTCGTAATTCGAAAAATCTCGTTGCGCGGAGGCCAAGGTTTACCGTGCGGAGCGGTGTTTACATCGCGGCGCCGAGCATAAGAAATGTTATTCCATTTCTTATACCCGGGAACCGTCTGTATTCCGTTGAATTGTGTGTTAAATTCGACGAATAATTACGAATTCGTAATCGAATTCTCGGAACACGGATTAATATAAGAAATGCAGGCCGAGCAATGTTCTCAAGCCATGCACTATTCTAATCTTCAAACTGATACGGTTACCATGTATAAAAAATAGTATAACAATTCGTATGCTCGGCGCCGCGATGTAAACACGGCCTCACACGATAAACGGCGGCCTCCGCGTAACGAGATTTTTCGGATATATGAATATGCGTCGGTTCCCGGAATCGCATATGATATAGCGAGATAGATTGTCTTCGATTTCTATGCCGCTTAGCGGCGACTTAGCTTTCTTAGAAAGGCGACGCGAAGGCTCGCGTTATTCTGCTTTCGTTCGATTACTTTGGCACGAACGATTATCGTTCGACTGATACTGATCCCGGACGAGTACGTTTCACTTCGTAATTTTAGAAAATACGAATTACATCCGATTAAGAGTTATCAGGCGTTTAACGTCAATTCCTCTTCGTGTAATTCATTTCGGTTAAGAACCATCGACAGGAAGGAAAGATTATCTCCCGTTCCTGACGTTCGCACTGATTATTAGTGTCGAAACAAGGACAAGTCTAGCTTATACGTGTCCGAGTCTCGGTCGTTCCCGTGACCATTGAAGCTCTATTTTATAGCTAGTCGCCGGTTGTCTTGTCAAGGTAAGGTACTTCGGACATAGTCCGAAGTATTTTCCAAGGGGACAGATTATATTAGGGGTCAGTTGGAGTCTTGGCCTTACAACCCGGGCTCCCTCACGCAGCGTAGCTAGCTGCGTGAGCTCCAAGCAAAAAACGCTCGCAGGCTCTGTTTCGGCGCACCGAATCAGGGCAACGTAGAATACCTCCTCACTCGATCACGTGAGTAGAGTTGACCACGAGACGAGAAATTATTCTCGTCTTAACAATACAGTCCACTAATTATAACAACGAATCGCAAATTTAATTTGCCATTGTTTATTTTTGTTCACAGATCTCACCGTTGAGGACTGGAGCACAAATATATACAATACATCTTGTTCGAGAATAATCTCGAAGGTGCGCGAAATCGATGCCTTTCCGATCACGCATCAACAGCGCCGCCAGTAAGAAGAACCAAGAAACTGCCGGTCGGCGACAGACCGGCATGAGTCCTTTATGTACCTTTAAACGAGATAGACGTGCCGATTTTAGTCCGCGATTTCCTATTCGAGACCTCAAGATCGCAATTAATATAATCGACGATCTGATCACGCTTACGATAAATAGTATCGGATTGATCGATTGATCACGCAGAGATCACGCGTACAAGGATTCAGTGTTTGAATTCATGTAACGGCCACGTGCAGAACACGGTTTCTGCGACGCACGACTTGACCGCCATTGTTCACGGTTCTTAGACCACGATTAAACTACGTAAATTGTATAATTGTTAATTGTCCGCGCGCACATTGTAATTTGACAACGAGCTGATTAGCTCATAATAAATGTTTTGTGTCGTAATCGCGTACTGGTGTTAGCTATCCGACCCCGTCCATCCGGG